TGAGAAAGCAAGTCATCAAGTTTGGGACTCTAACTGCAGTTGGCCATGGAGGAGTCCAGTGCCTTAACTACCATGTCACCTGCTAACTTTACCTTTTCACTCTCTTGATAATGTCTTTTGATAGGTAGAATTTTAAAAATTTGATAAAGTCCAAATTACCTATTTTTCTTGTATTTCCTTTGTTTCAGGTGTGAGATCTAAGAAAACATTGCCAAATCCAATGTTAGTATTTTCTTTTAATATATTGGGTGGTTGAAAAAGTCATGATGTATTTTTTCTGTTTTTCTATGCAAAAAATGCATCATGACTTTCCATACAACCCCATAGTCACATAGTTTTAGCTCTTGGGCATTATAAAATTACCTATAATAAGATTCTAACATATTCTGGTTTTGTGGCCATTCTGCTTTAGATAATGTAATAAAAATTAGGCTTTTCAGGGACCAGCAGATGGCGTATGATTATGTCAATAGACTCCCACATAGTTGACCGTTGTTCGAGTGCCAGACCTGGCAACTTAAAACTCAGGCTGGGCATGTGTGCATTGAATCCAAGATTCCCAGAGGAAAATGGAGAAGGGATTGCAGCGTGGCCATCCCCTTAGGGGGTGATTTTTTGCCTTTTGTCTCTCTGATGAGCACACGTACCCTATAGCAAAAATCTCTGTAAAAAAAATTTAAAAAAAGTTAGACTTTCTGAGGCAGACTTTCTTCTGCCTTAAATGGAATAAGTAGCACACTAATTTGTTAGGGATTATCAGCTCTGCATGTGATATTTCTTCATGTGTTTTGTAGGAAATTAAGGCCCAGATATGTTTTTTAGTCATGTAATTCAATGTTATATACCTAGCAAACAACAGGGGAGTCTTTGTATGATTCCAGAGCCTGCATTGTTTTCACTCTACCAAACTTTCTTTTTGTGTTTAATTTAAATGAACTATTTTTCAGGTTAAGAGGACAACTCTTGTGGATAGCAGAACATCCGTTACTGATGTGAAATTTGCTCCCAAACATATGGGTCTTATGTTAGCAACCTGTTCGGCTGATGGTATAGTAAGAATATATGAGGCACCAGATGTTATGAATCTCAGCCAATGGTCTCTACAGCATGAAATCTCATGTAAGCTAAGCTGTAGTTGTATTTCTTGGAACCCTTCAAGGTAAGCTTCACATATCAAACTTCTGATAATATAATATAACAAATTATTAGTTTTTAAGCTAAGAATCTGATGGTTTACTTTCTGAAAAATGTTTTTGCTAATTAATAGAGTAAAAATTCTCCCTTTTCTACCCTGTTATACCTTTTGTCCCCTTTCTATTCTGCAGAGAAAGCCAATCATTACGATTATGTTGGTGTGAATCTTCTGGGCAGTTTCTATGCATGTACAAATAAATAATGTTTTCATATATGCAAATACACCCAGATATATACTAACACATATGAGTAGGCACAAAACACACAGACATGCATAAACATGTGCATTTTTCTTCTTTGGAATTTGCTTTTTCACTGGTGTCATGTTTTATTTATTATTCTGTCACAGCCTCCCAGTTAGCTAGGATCATATATGCATGCAACTGAACCCAGTGTATTTTAGGTTGGTTCAGGAACCAAATCCAGCCCTCTCATGAGGTCCCAGTCTCATGCAGCAGTGATCTATGATTTACACCACCATGGCTGGGCCACTGAGATAGACATCTATCTATAGGTAGATAGATAGATAGATCAGTATATATATTATATATATACACACACATATATATTTATCTTTTACTTTTTTTTTAGAGAGATTCTTGTTGTAGGGCTCATGCACTCATCAGAGAGACAGACAGAGACGGAGGGACAGAAAGCAAAAAAATCACCTCCCAGGGGGGATGGCCATGCCACAATCCCTTTTCCTCCATTTTCCTCTTGGGATCTTAGGCAAGCATGGACACACACTCAGCGTGAGTTTCAAGCCACTGGGTCTAGGACTCAAACCATGGTTGACTACATGGGAGTCCAGCGACATAACCATTATGCCATCAGCTGGTTATATTTTAAAATGATTTACTTAAACCTGTGGTTCTTGATATATTATCTTTAAATAATTTCATACTTACCCATAAGAAAGATGTTTATGGACTATTGATAAAACTTTCCATCCCTCAAAATATGGATACATTATTTGTGAAAATTCTGATTGTCATTTTTGTTGACAGTCGTCTTTCAAATAATACAATTATATCTCCACTTACTGATTTGTCAATTTTTTGATGATCTATTGACTCATCTTTTTCTTTTTTTCTCTTTTTTATTTTTGGAATTCAAGTTGTTTTATTTTGCTCCTTTATGTTTCCCTTTATTGTAATATCTGACAAAACATCCAGGCAAAATACTTACATACTGACTTGCTATAGTTTCATACTGAAAGATTTTCATCTGCCATTTATATTTCCTGTCCTTTTTCTTAAAACTGTGATGATATTGTATACCCTGTCTTTACTAGTGTTAAGAATTTTATTTTTTTTAAAGAACTATTTTATTTAACTTTATTTATTATTATTATTATTTTCCAATTTGACCAGAAAGAGAGAGAGAGAGAATATGAGAAAGTAAGCCACCAGGTCTGGCACTCAGACCATGGTCAACCATGTGGGAGTCCAACACCCTTAACCACCACACCACTCGCCGGCCCCATAATGTTAAGAATTTTCTAACTCATCTATTTTCATGAAGAAAAGAGGAACTGTTATCACTTAAGCAGGACTGTTCCTTAGAAAGGATTTATATCCAATAAAAATAAGTACTAACTTCCCTGAGCATATCTTCCCTTTGGGACGCTTTCAAAAAATAATATACCCCTTTTTTCCATACTTTTACCCCAGTAGAAATTTCTGTTTTATTTTATCTCACCACTACTAGTGTTCATTGTTTTTCCCTCTCAATAAAATAAAAGCTCTTTAAAAGAAAATACAGTGAATTGGTCCTTGACAAGTATATACTAGCTAACCTGGAGGCTCTTCTTGGGAAGTTCTATCTCCATGGCTCTCTTCCTTGCTCCAATTTGAAGATTACTATAGGCTTGGCAGTAAAATTTTGCCAGACCGTTCCTGTCAACTATTTGAAGAGTAGCAGTAGTTCATCTTCATCAGCTGTCCAATAAAGGGGCCAATTCAAGCAGTTTGTTAGGGTGCCACTCACAATAACCCATGGAATGAGACCTCACTCTTAAATAGCATGCACTCAGACCATGGTCAACCATGTGGGAGTCCAACACCCTTAACCACCACACCACTCGCCGGCCCCATAATGTTAAGAATTTTCTAACTCATCTATTTTCATGAAGAAAAGAGGAACTATTATCACTTAAGCAGGACTGTTCCTTAGAAAGGATTTATATCCAATAAAAATAAGTACTAACTTCCCTGAGCATATCTTCCCTTTGGGACGCTTTCAAAAAATAATATACCCCTTTTTTCCATACTTTTATCCCAGTAGAAATTTCTGTTTTATTTTATCTCACCACTACTAGTGTTCATTGTTTTTCCCTCTCAATAAAATAAAAGCTCTTTAAAAGAAAATACAGTGAATTGGTCCTTGACAAGTATATACTAGCTAACCTGGAGGCTCTTCTTGGGAAGTTCTATCTCCATGGCTCTCTTCCTTGCTCCAATTTGAAGATTACTATAGGCTTGGCAGTAAAATTTTGCCAGACCGTTCCTGTCAACTATTTGAAGAGTAGCAGTAGTTCATCTTCATCAGCTGTCCAATAAAGGGGCCAATTCAAGCAGTTTGTTAGGGTGCCACTCACAATAACCCATGGAATGAGACCTCACTCTTAAATAGCATTAAATGGTACACAGTTCTTGTACATTTACTATGAAAGGAAGTCATTAATTTCAGGGAACTACTTAAGAGTTCCACTAACCCAAGAATGCCAGGTTGTTGTAGGACTCCAGTATCACATCCTTGTATAACGTCTCCTCACCATCATCCAGGTCCTGCCACTCCTCCAAGGTAAAGACCACAGTCACATATTCAGATGACATGAACCCCGAAAATGTATACATTTTCCTGATCTTAAATGCAGAGGTTACTAGAATTAGAGCCTGAAGTATGCAGTAGTCTACAAGAGTCCAGGGAGAGACCAGAAGCTTTACTTCCTTTAGCACAGCAAGACACCACACAAACACAGCTGCCTCAGTAAATCTGTCTTCAGGGGCATGGAATTTTACCCCACATCCTGCAGAGAACAGGGAGTACAGCCGCATATTTCCTTGGTGAGATGGGCAGGGCTCAACTCCTCTCTCTTGAAAAAGAGGAAGTTAGGTTATTTTACTTCTATTGGAGATGCACAAAACAAAAGGTGGAAGAAAGTGGCACCACACCAAGTCTTTCTTTTTGCATGATCTTGTTTGCCTATGTGCCACCAGTTTTCTGAATGCAGTTACTTAATTGAATCATGATTGCTGCATGACTCATTTCTATTCTTTGCATTTATTGGTTGGACATTGGCGCTTCCGGAATTTCATATTTACTGATGGTGATGTGGACTCTTCCCTTTGCATTTTTTCTCAGTCTAAGTTCCTGAACTTTCTTCATTTCTGATGGTATACCTTTTTGATTTCTAGCTCTGTTCTGATAACTGTTCTTTCATCATTTCGTGGAACTTTAGCAGAGAAGGTGATGCAGGCGGTCTGTCTACACTATTTGGTTGAGAGTTGGATGTTTTTGCTGTATGCCCATATCATGAGTTTTAAGCCGCTTGATTCAAACTGCATTTGACTGTGTGGGAGTTCAGTGACTTAATCATTATATAATCTGCTGGTCCCATCTTTTTACAAAGTGTTTAGAATCCTTTGGTCACAATGGTGTTACTTTTTGTTTTATAGTTAATGACCAAATCTTTTAGGAAGAAAAATCACTAAGACCTTGTTTCTTTTTTAATTCTTTGAGTGCTTAAAATGTTTTTGTTTAGGAAAAGAGCTCCTTTTAGTCCAAGCTATAGGAAATGTTTAGGGGCTGGCAGGTGGTGTGATGGTTAAGGGTGCTGGACTCTCATATGGCTGACTGCAGTTTGAGTCCTTGACCTGGTGGTTTGCTTTCTCTTTCTCTCTCTCATTTTCACACACACTCACGTATTTTGTTCCTCTCTGGTCAAATTAAAATAAATAAATAAAGGTAAATAAAATGATTCTTTTTTCTTTAAATGTGGTTTAAAACGCTTCAGAGGGTAGTGTCCTTGGTTCCTGTTTGTTACATCCTCAAATACACATACTTGTAAGTGTGGCTGTGTGAGGTATGGCAGAAATCTAGAGGTCACAGCAGGGGAAGGCTGACTTAAAGGTTGTCTGTCTCCTTGACTTCAGTTTTTGAATTCTCTGAATTAGATGTGTATTCATTTTATTATGCTTTTTACTCTTCCTTTCTAGCTCTCGTGCTCATTCCCCCATGATAGCTGTAGGAAGTGATGACAGTAGTCCAAACGCAATGGCCAAAGTTCAAATTTTTGAATATAATGAAAACACCAGGTCAGTACTGCTTTGGTTTAAATTATTGTTTAGAACTACTTCTAATGTTTTAAAATGTAATTCTTTTATTAGCTGATTTTGCATAATTCATTATATGTTTACTGGTTTCTATGATGTGCTGAGTTCTCTGGTATGTTCTGGTAACATAGTGTAGAATAATGTGAAGAAAGCGATTGATTTCCTAGTATGTATCATCTTATAGGTGAGACAAAATATAATAGTAAAAAATGAGTGATGAATTTTAATAACTTATAGAATCAAGTGTTAAATTGGTGGGACATAATCACATTTGAAGCCCAGGAAAACTCACCCAGAAAACCTATACGATGAGTTGAAGCCAACAAAGAGGGTAGAAACACTCAAAGAGGAAAACACTGCATGAGGTAAAGCCTGTGAACAAGATACAGCGAACATATTCTTACTGTGGTTGGAATACAGCAGTCAAAAGGTGCTCTCAGTGTAGTAAAAATAGATAAGACTCACATCTGCAAGACCTAGTATCCAACTTTTGATTTTATCTTAGGAGTGATGTGAATAGAAATAACAACATTGGATAGTAGTTGAATGCTTTTTTATCTTTCAGTTTTTTGCTATAGGGTGCTCATTGGTGAGAGAGAGAGAGAAAGGGAGAAATAAAGAAAAGTAAAATGAGAGCTCCCTGGGGTTGAGGGGGATGACCGTGCTGTAGTTCATTTACTAGGGATTTTGGGCATGCGTGCACATATGCCTGGCATATTTTCAATCCTCTAGGTCTGGGACGTGGAGTCTGCCATATGGAATCCAGTGCTTAACCACTATGCCACCTCGCATAGCTGTGAAAGTATTTTGAAAAGGAACATAAGTGGATTCAGGGTGAGGATGCTGTTATACTTGTCCAGTAGGGAGAGTATAGAGGCTTTGGGACAGAGTGGCAGTGGGAAGGAGAGAAGTGGACAGCTAGAGTATAATTTAAGAGGTGGTGCCAGTAGGATATGGTGATTGATTGGATGTGGGTGATAAGGGAGAAGGGAATAGTCAAGATGATTTCCATTCTTCTGGCTTAGTAATTCAATGCATAGTGTAATTTCTTGAGGTAAAAAACTGAAAACGGCAGATTTAGGTACACTGTGGCAGTATGTGAAGCTCAATTAGTCTTGGTCGTATTGAGATTACAGGTATCTGTAAATCCTGAGAGCACTGTTGGAAGAGGTAAACTCAATCTCAAGGAAGAAAAAAGTACCTATTAGGTGACTGGGTGGGTTTAGTAGGTGTTAGACAAAAATTTTGAGTCTAGTACTTTGATATCAAGTAGAACAAGAAGCACAAGAAAGGAACTAGTGTAATTCCCATGGGCTCTGCAATTCAGAATATTACCACTTAGGTTTCCATGGCACTTTTAAATCTTCTGCCTTCCTAGATTTTTAATTTCTTCTTTGGTGCTGCCCAGTAGGACTCACTGTGATGATGGAGATGCTCTATGTCTGTGCCATGTAATGCAGTGGCCACTGGCTTCATACAGCTACTGAAACTTTAAAGGTGGTTAGTCCAACTGAGGAACCTACTTTGTTCATTTTTATCAATTTAAGTAGGCACATGTAGCTATTATATTTGCCAGTATAGTTCTAGAGTGTAGGAAATTTTCCTTTTGCACTTTTGAGATTTTTATAATCTTTTTAGCTATTAAAGCTATGAACAACGTTAGTAGGACTTAAAAAAATGTTTATTCTTTCCATCAGAGAGAAAGAGAGAGAGCACCCAACTGGGTCTTGATGCCACAGTTTACTTCCAGCCTCAGCCAGCTTCAGATTTTGGACACATGTGCACCTGGTATGTCCAGGGAAGTCTCTACTAGCCCCAATCTTCCTGTGTGGATCTCAAAATGTCCTGTCTTAGTTCTGCATGACTCTTCAGTCCCAACAACAGATTTTAGAGGTTTCATGAAGCATTAGTGTTGTTTAAACAGTTTTCTTTCTTTTTTTTAAGAGATGTTTTTGCTATAGGGCACGTGCGCTCGCCAGACAGACACAGACAGACAGAGAGACAGAAAGGAGGGAATCACCCCCCAGGGGGGTGGTCACACCGCAATCCCTTCTCTTCCATTCTCCTCTCGGGATCTTGGGCACACACACACACGCGCCTGGTGTGAGTTTAAGCCACCGGGTCCAGGATGCGAACCGCGGTCGACTACGTGGGAGTCCAGCTACATAGCCATTATGCTAACTGCTGGTTCCCAAGTAATTGGCTTTTTTTAAAAGAGGTTTTTGCCTTTTATAGAGGCACAAATCCAAAACCTAAAAAGTGGACCATTTGGGGGCTGGGAGGCGACGTGTTGGCAAGGCTCTAGATTCCCACATGACCAACAGGGGTTTGAGTCCCGGATTTGGTGACTTGATTTCTCACTTTCTCTTGCTCATTCTCTCTGTCCCTGGGAGCATATGTGCCCTATAGCAAAGTTAAATAAATAAATAATAGATATATAAAATTAAGTAATTATTTTTCCCCCCAGAGATTTTTGTTATAAAGTACGTGTGCTTGCCAGAAAGACGAAAAGACAGAAAGTGAGAAATCACCACCCGGGGGGTGACTATGCTGTGATCCCTTCTCCTGCATTCTCTTAGGATTTTGGCCATGCATGTACATACACCTGTTGTGAGTTTCCAGCCACCAAGTCTGGGACTTGAAACGTGGTCAGCTATGTGGGAATCCAGTGTCTTAACCACTGTGAAATCTGTTAACTCCAAAATTAAATAATTCTCAGGGGAAAAAAAAGGATCATTTCCATATCATTGGAAAATTAGAAAATATTTCATAAATAAGGTTTGATTAAGAGGATAAAGAAATTGGGACCAGCAGATAGCATAATAGTTGTGTTGATGGACTCCTGCGTAGTTGACCTCGGTTCCAGTCTCGGACACTGACTTAAACTCACATCAGGGACATGTATGAGTGTGCCCACAATTCCAAGAGCAAAATGCAGAAGGGATTTTTGGCGTGGCCACTCTTGTTACCTGGTGTTATTTCTTGCTTTCTGTCTCTTTCTCTATGTCTCTGGTGAGTGCATGAGCCCTATAGCAAAAATCTCTTTTTTTTAAAAAAAAAAAAAAGAATGGGGCCAGCAGGTGGTGTAGTGGTTAAGGACATTCTGTCCCTCTCTGGTCAAATTAAAATAAATAAATAGAGGTTAAAAAATAAAATAATTCTTGAAAAAAAAAAGGATAAAAAAATTACAATTAGCGGGACCTGCAGGCGGTGTGGTGGTTAAGGGCTCTGGACTCCCATATGGCCAACCGCGGTTCAAGTCCTGGACCTGGTGGCTTCCTTTCTCTCTCTCTCTCTCTCTCTCTTTTTTGTTCTGTCCCTCTCTGGTCAAATTAAAATAAATAAATAAAGTTAAATAAAATACTTTTTTTAAAAAAAATTACACTCAGTTCTGGAAGAAGTTACAAGCAAATAGAAATTACCCAAGTACTTTGTATTAATAGTGTTAAAAATAATTTGTGAGGACCAACAGGAGGTACAGAGGTTGAGGTGGCTGGTTCCTACATGGCTGACTTTGAGGTTTGAGTCCCAGACCCCATGGTTGGAGAAGTACACCTAGTCCTTGTGTGTGTGTGTCCAAAATCCTGAGAGGAAAAGGTAGGAGCAGGAATTGCAGTGTGGCCATTCTCCCAGAAGGTATTTTCTCACTTGCGCACGCTCTCTCTCCAGTGAGCGTACATACCCTATAGCAAAACGAAAAAAAGTAATAATAATTTATGATTACTTTTGAATCCCTTAGCTAGCAGGATAAGAGAGAGAGAGAGATAAAGCAAGCTACCAGGTCTGGGACTCAAACCGTGGTCAGCCGTGTAGGAGTCTAGTGCCTTAACCACTACACCACCTGTTGGCCCCACCCTTGGTGAGTTTTCAAGTCACCAGGCCCAGGACTTGATCTGTGGCCAGCCATGTGGGAATCCATCACCTTACCCACCCTACTACCTGCTTACCACAAGTTGAAGATGCTTATTTAGATTGCAAGTGTACATAGAAGATATATTGGGTTGTCTGTGACCAGCAGTTAGTGTAATGGCTATGTCACTGGACTCCCATGTAGCCGACTGCGGTTCGAGTTCCGGACCCGGTGGCTTAAACTAACGCCGGGCGCGTGTGCATGTGTACCCAAGATCCCAAGAAGAGAATG